TTTCTCCTTGACAAGAGTGGATGTGACGAGGACGCTGGGGCTGAGTATAGACATGCACAGTGTTCTCCGTAAGCCTCAGATACCACTTTTTGGTCATTTGTCGTTTCTCCGTTTCTGTCCTTCAAGGAGAACGCGGATAGCTTGTTTCTGCGGCGATGTCTCATGTACTGAACAGTGCAGTGTTCTCCGTAAGCCTCAGATACCACTGTTTGGTCATTTGTCGTTTCTCCGTTTCTGTCCTTCAAGGAGAACGCGGATGTTTCTGCGGAGTTGGGATCTTTTTTCCAACGAACTCCAGCTGAACCACATTTCAAAACTGTGAAAAAAAGTGGTTCATTGACAAATCCGTTCGTCTGCCAAGTCATCAGGACCGCCGTTCGTAGGTTGGCGATTGAAGGATTTTTACGACCATTTTCTTCTGAAGTTCCTTGCTGTTTATCCCGGATGCGTAAACGGCTCCCATCTGTGCGGTGGCATTGAAGTTTTTTGGGATAAATTAACAATCTTTGTCCTCAAATGTCGCTTTGCTTTGACCATACATACCACTACCAACTGGGACATGCATTTATTCCTCTCTCTGCTCGATTGTCGTCTATTTAATCTTTTAATAAGGACTGCCTTATCACAAGCACTTATTTTCTCGTGCATTCGTTAATACTGGAATGGACGCCCGGGCAAATTTACTTACGAATATTCTAGTAAATCATCCACTATCGCCTTTTGGCATTCACTTCGGCCAGGATTAATTCAGGCCTGGTTTTCACGGCCACAAAATTTTACCTAGAATGAAGCTATCGTAGCTACTGCTCGGAGAGACTCGCTATCCTGACGCATTCGATTTAACCGTCCAACATTTGGGTTATCGGCATTCCAAACCCGAATTTCTAGTACATGCTAATTGGAATGACTTGCTCCCGAATCAAAATGCCAAATAAATCCCAACGATAAAGCTTATTCGCTGCAATTCCTGTATTTTATCGGACCATGCTCAATGATTATTTATATTTCATTCAGTTTGTCCATCTAAATTAATTTACAGGACTCACGAGGAGCCACTCATTATTGCACACCTCGCATCTTCAAGGGCAGTGTTAGGGCTGATTTCTCAGTAGCGCTAGTATTTTGCCGTTCACCTATGTTCTACAAACGCCTAGTTCGGTAAACATCCTACCTTCCATTTCACTACAGCTGCTGGCCCCACCAGCGTTACTTGTTCTGAAATGCCCTCAAAAGACTTGTCTTTACTACAACCAAATGATTGAAATAGAAGCTCGTTATACCTTAATACACTCTGCGTCACCTTGGAATACATTTTGCGCATATTCAAAAGTTCCCCGATTCCGCTAAAAACGCAACCACCTGGTAGTCCTACCTCTAGATTAAGATTTAATCCTCCTTGTTGTCCTTTCTTTGGTCACATGAATGTCGAAAATGCAATAATGCAGACCACAGGAAAACCGCATTAAATACCGTTTTCTCAAAAACGAGAGTTTGACACGGAGCTTCGATCCTCGTCAGTGACTCCCAGTACAACTTTTGAGATCGTACGGCGGCAAAATGTCCATTATCCTTGTTGTCAGCATGGTTTCCGAACGTGCAATGAAAGTGTGTAGAGTGAAATGGCACTTTGTTGGTAGTGATGACCGAGTGACTCCAAAAGAACTAGGTTCCTAATAAATGAAGAAACGATACCTTACGTCTAGCCTTTTACAAATGAGAAACTCGGCATTGGGCTTTAGCTAACAAAAGCTTCAATCTTCCTGCCATTGTGATAATTTCTCTTTTTCAGTGAATATTTTTGCTTCGCACCCGGATTTGAGAGATTCCAAAGTGCACATCAGGTGCCATCTACAAGCCCCGGTAAGACATGTGAATAAATTTTGTACCCATGAATGGGCGGTGTGCTCCATCTATGAAACTGATTCACACATGGCGTTTTCAACTTACCGGAGGATTCTGGGACTTTTGGACTTTTACCGCATAAAGAACAGTAAAACTGGATGAAAGGCAACGTTGGAAACAAAAGGCGCCTTAGATCCACTCGCTAGAAAGTCTGCCTATTCTGGAGAATCACCTCGAGCTATTGTCAGTTCACTTTTCATTAGCGATATCGGGAGAACCATTAAAAGTTTTCGGAGTACTTATTGAATGAGTGCGTTCCTCATCGCGCCTCTGGGACTTCTTAGACTTCGTTTAATTGTTTGGTCGTTCTGCTTGATCGATAGTGAGAATCGCTGTTACGTTTTACTGACATGAGTGAAGTCGAATTTCAGTAGCCAGTGAGAGCCAGCAATGCGTCCTTAAAAGTCTCGACAACATACACAACGAGTCCGTCGCACAGATTTACGTTTTATCACAAATTATGCCACTTACTGAATACTGATGGTGGCAGCAGTGCGCTAGCACAACTTGAATTTTTGTTTGCTCGGGCGTTCCATTTAAGTGTCTAAGTGAGGAGAGAGTTTATGAAATCAGATGTTATCCCATATTGTTGGCGACTACAAAGGACACCGGTAATCAAGTGTTTTAATTGCTGTATAGGGTTGAGGTTCACACTAAGCACAAATTCATGCAAGAAGAAATAATGACACTAAAGTTATACAATTCGTGAGAGCACGAGGAAGATTAGCTTGCCAGCAGTATTCAAGCAGCCGGGCGGCTTCATACAGTCGCTACACTACAGACCACGGTGTCAATCGCTGGGCGCAGAATGTGATTTATCCAGGGAGCAAAATAATTGGAAACACTTACTGAGAAATATATTCAAATAATCTAATCGACTCAACAATTAATAACATAACAAGTGCTGGTGTGGCGTTTTGTAACTTTGTAATAATTCCATTATGGCACTACGTATTTCATCAATTGCATAATCGTTTTTTGTTTGAATACGAAAAACTACAAAAACGCGCACTTGTACAAGTTCTCAGAATACAAGCGTGGTCACGTGCTTCGACTCTCTCTTCTGATTTCGCTCGCGCTTGCAGCGGTCATTCGCGGGTCTCATGTGCTAACTCTGGTACCGAAACATTTCAGACATCTTCGGAATCTATTATATGTGGGAACTGTTCAGAAGAAGACCTCTGGATCAACATAATTGGATTATTGTTTATTCGCTGACCTGGGCCAACGATGAACTATTTTAAAGGGAACAATTGTTAGTGAGTTTGTTCCATCTGATCTTTTTATTATTGTATACCCAACCTAGCGTAATCATTTTTATTTCTTTGCCACACACTCCTGGTAAACTAACTTATTGGGTAGCCAGACAACTACACATTTGGTGAGCCCGAGTATTTCTATATATTTTTTTGAAAGCTTCTTTTTTCAAGTCGTCGTAAATTTTTGCCCGGTAATTATGGAGGCACACTTTGATTCAGCGGATTTAGTCGAGAATGCAGTTAGCATACGTTTGCCAGACTACAATCCGCGCAACCCCAGGGTATGGTTTCGCAAGTTTAAGGCCGTTTTTGCTACCCGACGCATCACTTCCCAAGTCAACCGGTTTTCCTATATCGTCCAGCATCTTCCTTGTGATGTAGCAACAGAAGTTGAAGATCTCTTGTAAGATATTCTTAAGGAAAATGCGTATGACGCCATTCGAGCGGCCGTCATAAGTTGGACAGGGAAATCAGAGAACAAAATGTTACGGGATTTATTCACCACTGTCGAACTTGGGGACATATCGCCATCACAAATGCTGAGCCACATGCGCAGTCTCCTCTGCGGCCATAAGTTAGCGGAGGAAATCCTGGCCCACCTATTGCTCGAACAAATTCCCATCCACCATGTCCCACGTCATCAGCGCTTTCGATGATGACCAAAGCTTGGAGCAGCGGGCCTAAATGGCGGATAAGATACACGAAGCATATCCCAGTAACCCGTAAACTCCGTCTCTCGCCCTGCGTCCACTACAGATTCCGACCCGCTTCTTGATTCTATATCGCACCTACAAGCCAAGTTTGATGCTCTGACCGATCGCCTGCAACGGTTAGAGATCAACAGGCATCGACCACGTTCACGATCCAGATC